TGTTTGCAACCTACGCTTAAAAACTTCCATAAATACCATCAGCACTTCACAAGGTGATATCGGATCCTCATTAATATGCTGCAAAACGGCTGCATAAAGTTGACACCCACAGCATTTGCCACATTCAAATTATGAAACTATTATTTAGAGATAAAAACACCTTCTTTGGGCCACATTAAAGCTTAGTTTTTACTAAGGATGGTTTCTTAGCGCGTTCGAGAGTTTTCAGAAGGCGAAAGAAGACGTAATACTGGGGCTGACTATGTATTGCCGATATACAAAGGGGCTAGGGGGCTACTAGCATAACCCGGAGGCCACGCCCCCCCTGGCGGAGGTACAATTGCAAGGTCCCAAATCCGAGAGTTAACAAACACTTGTGGTATTACAGGTTGGATTTGTTCGTCAGATTGTCGCAATATCATCGAGCTTAAATACCTTTATACCATTTCAACGCACACATTTGTAGAGCATGACTGTAAAAAAATATGTAGTTTGAATAACTCGAGAGCTCTACCACACGTACCGAGAGGATTAATACGTATCTAGTGATAAAAGAGCGGTTACGTGTCGGGTCCTCACTTTACTATGAATTGATCGCCTAATAGAGCAATCCGCTTATCAACAGGTCAGGTCAATTATTATTTCACTGCACCCAAAATAAACTATTTTTCTCTAGCTACAACTAAAAAGCTGCTTTTTTATTTAAGCACAAGCAGATGTGCATATATAGGCGCGTATTTATCTCACTTTGTGGATAAAATGCCGCGTTTCGGTCACTCACCCTGTGAAATTGCCCTTTTCTTCATTAAATATATGCAGCGAAAGAAAAAAGAGGTGTGAACAGGTTGCTTAACTTTTCGACATCATTCTGTTCGGCAAAACGTTATAACATCACCAAAGGAAAAGGGAAGTGATGTAGCACAAGTGTGTACTTTGGACGAAATTAGAGCTGGGTTTATTTTTAGGATGGGTGTTCGCATTTTCCCTTAACGATTGCCGTCTTTTGTTCCCATTGTTTCCTTTCACTCTAATTATACTTTACATTCTAGAAGGTGATGAGGATTTTGTATGCTTACTCTTTTCGTAGTTACAATCTGGCATGATGCTAACCCGTACTAACTTGTTCCAGAAGACTTGTGTCTTTTCCGACTCCTCTGATTATGGCGTACCCAATTCCAGAATTATTGCTGCCCATACCACACCTCTAGAGTTTGGCTACCTTTCGACCGAGAGGAAGTTGTATACAAAGTACCTCGTGTAATGGTGTGATCATTTGCTTAATTCTTTGTTTGAGATTCGAGGGCATATGGGACTCGACCAGTGTACTTCTGCTAGGCAGCATGGCATTTGGGCCATGCTAGTGGTCTCCAACCCTTCTGTACGTCTGTATTCTGCCCTTGCACCGTAAAATGCATTGTCTTCAGGGAAGTCTTGGGGTGATACACTGGTGGCAGTGGAAAACGAATCCTATCCTAAAGGACATCTGTCCTAATTTCTGTTTCTGAACGTGACAAAAGAAGAGAATATGGTGCAGATGGGTGAATGGGTGATGAACCCTAACAAAAGGGTTGCAAATGCCGCCTGCTTTTAGCTACTATTCCAGTTGCGTGTTCTGCAGGATTGCTATTAGCAACCGAAGTGACAGCAGCTGTGAACCATATTGATGAAGATGTCTATGAGGTGAGCATGCGATACCTCCTTCACCCTTGTACTAGTTGGATAGAATCCAGGTAGATCTGACTAGGCAGCACTGAAGTGATAACAAAGGTGTAAGTAGGAACAGGCGTAAGTCCTCATTCCTACGAAACTATTTTAAACCCCGTCCCTTGTTACTTTTTGACTCTGCTTTTCGGTCAATATTCCTGCGACTAGAGATGGGCAGCTGAGATAGCCAGCACATCCCCTTCTTCCCTTAGTACAGTCTCCAAACAGGACGAACATCTAGATTTAGTGAAATTGCCAAGAGGGATCAGTAACGTTTCAGTAAGATATCATCGCAGTTGTGCGCGAATTCGATGACTAGCACGGTTGGTTCGTGGGTGTTTTGTTTTTGAAACACCAACTACGTTGTAATGGCCGATGCGGAAGGTTGGCCAAGGGGCTTGCCAGGAACGACGCTTAAAGGAGGAAAAGGATTGTTTAAATACGCCAAATGTTTGTTTAACCCTCGGTGCTCTGTCATTGTACCTCCACTGGGCGGTCTGGCATCCGAGTCATGCCTATAGCCTCAATCCTTCCTGCATGTCAAATACTTGTATTCTACACAAGTATTGGTTTTTTTGTCATCGGGGAAGTCTCGGGACCCTACATTACCTATGTAAAATCGTACACTCAAAGGACATATTGTAAGTAAATCCGTTAAAATATTTCAAAATATATAGTCTCTCTTGTAACTATTTTTGCTCCACAGAGGGAAGGATAGGAAGATCGAATGCACACAAACGCAACTCCATTTCCCGCCCTAAACATGCATTTTTGTTTGGTGAACGGGACTTCTGGCAAATAATGACTTAAATAAATAGTTTTTTTGTTGTATTGATACTTCAAAATGAAGTTGCGCAAATTCATAAGATGCTTAATAATTACGGTGAGTCAATGCTAAAAGGCGAAATGAGACTTTAGCAGGTAGATGGATTTGAGCCATACTATAACTGGCCAAATAGTCGATGACTCAAATTTTCTTATTCAGTCATTTTGTTTTAATGTTTGCCACTTTAAACTAAGCGAAGATTATTTGCATAAGGGGTCAGGCCACCAAACCCTTAAGCTATTTTAGTTAACTCAGAAACACTAATTTAGGTTTAGATCAAAATAAATGAAACGTCGTTGTGTTCAATGCATGAGTGCGGTAATATAGGTGGTCAAAGAGGTGTGCGAGCGTCCTACTCACGAGAGGTGGCATTGGTTAGTGACGTTACTTTGGAAAGCCGATGACTTCACCTTAATCAGCTTCCCATTAGTCCCTTATAAGGCATAAAACAAAGTAATGGAAAAAGATTGACTTAGTCATTTGGCACAGCATTCGGAGTACTTCACGTGTATCCCGGTGTTTACGAAATTCGGAGAGTTAAGTGTACGTATTAACGACAGACAAGTTGACATAAATTAAAGAATCTGAAAAGCTTATAAAATACCTTTATTTTCTGCCGTCTATTTCATTTGTTACACGTATAAAGCAGTAGCTAATCTTCAAAATTGTCTTATCCACTCCCGCATTTCAGAGATGAAACCACGTATGGGTTTTTGTATTGACCTAGAACCGGAACTGACAAGTAAGATGCGTAATTTCAAACGAAATGGTAGCATATTCAAAAGCGCAACGATTAAATATTTCACCGCATATCAGTAAGTTAATCTCTACTTATGCCACGTTCAGAAACTCCGGTTATTTTTAAGGACTTCGTTAATAAACACAGTTATAGGTAACACCGAAATGGCATTCAATCTTCTTGTCTACCATGTACTAATGTATTGTCTGAATTAAAATGCAGCAGTCTGATATTTTGTTAAATTGTATGTTTAATAAGGTGAGCGTTTAAGTCGCCTTGGGCTGCATATCTGCTTTGGGGCATGGCTCACGGACCACACTAATAGACTCATAACATTTCTGTGCCTTCATATTATATGTTTCTCTATACTATCTTGCCCTATTTCAAATTCAGTGAAGGCCCCGAATGCTGAACACATAGCATTACATGGATAGCTTAACCACCGACTTCACTTTTTGTGCTCGGGTGCGTTCACCCCCACCAAGGCTGCTCACGTAATACGATGGTTATCTCCCAGTTTTGGTGAAGAGTGACTTTTGAGTAGGTCTTCGTACCACCTTGGGTGGGCTGGCCTTTGGCCATGCCAGTAGCCCAAATACCTTCTCTGTGCTGAATATATGTATTCTACCCGAGTATTGACTTCTTTCGTCTTCAGAGAAGTCTCGGAACGCTACACTCATCTCATGCCCTTCAAGGGTCTAGGATCCCGGTTGCCGACTCATAAATTGAGAAAATCCTAACCTGATGCAGTTACGACCGACTCAAAATATTCTTCTGATCTTCATTCTCATCACGACTTAGTCTAAACCTAATAAAGTTGCTTGTTTTTTAATGACAAGTTAGATTTATAAGTTTGTGAAGTAAAAAAATGGTGTCTAGGATCACGGTAAATATTTATAAATTCGTAAATGCCAATTAGCTGATGCAACCAAAAGCACTAGTGTCAAAAATGACTTTGGTGCTCACTTTCTGGAGCCGAAATACGAAAAGATGTGGATTTGCCTTCTTTCTTTTTTGAAATAGAATAATTTGTTGACAGCCCCCAAATACTTTGAAGGTCACTCTTGTCCCATTTATTATCTGATAGGCAGTACTTGCAATTATTTGGCTTATGGGTTAAGTGTTGTTACTAGAAGTGCCTATGTTTATTAGCATCGCAAAATTTCCTGCCGTTGTTTCGTCTCATTTAAGGCTCCTGCTTTCTTTTTCAGCTGTGAACCAAAGGTTGGTTCTAAAGAAGAACTTGTTACCAATGTAATCTCGGGTAGTATTTTGATTCATTTCCTTAGCTGTAGAGATTAGTAACTTTTGAGATTGCTCCTGTTTTTAAATAGAGGGAAGTAAGGGAATTAAATGGCAAAATAACTTTTCAGTTCGATCATCGTGATTTGCGGAAGCCTGCTTTGGATCATCCCGTCCTTTATAATTGAATATTTAACAAAATAAATGGATACACCGGTTATGTGCGTTTCAAAATCATGAAACTTTATGTTCATGTCAAATACATCTTTGACTTATGTAACTTTTTCGCAAAAAGGTACGTTACTAAAAATGGGATAAATTGGCAGCCACAATTCCACTGAATGTTATGAATAATTTGGCAACTTCAAACTAAAGTGCTGGATTCAAGTGGTGTCGGCCATATGCACTGGATTTTTCCTGTAGTGAATGGTTTCATTTATTTTCTTAATGTCAAGTCTCACAATCCAAAAAATCTGCCTTTTTGTAGGCATGAATGAGGATCTCATTTACGATACCTCATTGTTGTGCCATGCAACACTCACAAATCTCGTTCAGAAAGGTAATCTATGGAAAGGTCCTCTGTGTTACAAGGATATAATGAAAACTTTCAGACTACTTTACACCTATGTAACTCGTGAACAAAATGGTTAGTTCCTCCTTCTAACCCATCCCCCTTTCTTTGTATGTATATTCATACTCTTTTTGTAGGTTCTCTGAACGAGCGATGCGTTCTTCAGTTTCGATACAAGAGTGACTACTCGGATGAGGAAAATATATGGGGCTCTGTAGAGACCTATAAGCGCCTCCTTGGACTTATAGTGTTCAATCAGTGTGAAATAAAGGCCGATCTTCGGTTAGCTTTGGAACGTTTCGCATCCACTCTTGTAGGTGCCTTGAACAAATTTAAGTAACACATGAATAGTTTGCCACTTTTAGTGTTATCGAAAATCAGTTCTGTAACTGAATATTTCTTTGCTGCGTCGACTATTTCACTTAGTGCGGAGATAAATGCAATGTGGTGTTGGGTTTTAAGTTTGTCATTAGTAAGTCCTACACACCTTTCTAAGTAATTACTACCTTCTTCGATAGCTCTTTTTGGTAGATCAAGAAAGCTCTTGATAAGTTCGGCATTTTTTCTACTGTTTTTCTCTCATTGTTTGTTGAGCCCAAAAAACGGTAATTAGGTAGCATTGGAAAGCCAGTTTGTATCGATTACTTGAAATTGCTATTATGTAGACAAACTTCAAAAGTACGCTGGTATCAGGTCTTCTCGTCATAATTCTCCACAACGAATCAAATGACAAACTTCGCTTCAACGATCTTGTCAAAGTGCACAAAGTGATGGTGAATCAACTGAAGGACGTGAGTACCTTGACTTCAAGTTACGATAGCCGTTGCTGAACTAGGCGTCGGCAATGTTCGTAAAAGATTGGTTTAATTCATTGGGTTCTTTCTACTGATATGAAATAAATAAGCATACTTATATCCCTAGTCGATATACGAGCTGCCCGCGTACAGTGAAGTCGTGGTACTACCAGGCAACGGGTTTCAAGATGAACAATGCTGCATGCAAGTATGCGTTAATAGTAGTAGTGGTGGTATGTATCAGCGCTATTATCGGTTCAATTCCCTTCTTGACAATATCCTCCGCGACACTCTGTTGCGTGAGGCGCAGTCCCTGCGTTTGAGCATCGTAACCTATCTGAAAGGTCACTTCAAACAGTCGAGATCGCCTCCCTCACCACCTACAATCCTTGTTCCCTCCCACAAAGGCAAATGCCTTAGTTTTTCAGGGCAACGATCTGTTCCTGTTGTGAGTGTTTGCATCGGTGAGGTGATGAAACCCTTGGAACACAGTGGAGATCTATCAGAACCATTTGGTTATGCTCTTCAATGGACTTCAGAACACAGCTCACCGTTGTGAGTTTATCGTATCTTCCTTCCCTTTTGTGACTGGTTGCTCGCATTTTTCGATGTCTAATAACTTCATTCCTTAATCGAAAATCTTGTAATTTGATATGCACCTGTACTGTAATGTAGGCGTCTGTAGAAACTTCAGGCGTTTTTGCTATCTTTACTTTAATGATTACGAAGTCGCAGAGGATTCAGTGGTTAAATGTATAAATACGCTTAGTTGATTTATGGTAAATGGAACGCTGCAGGTTACCATTTCTTACGTGCAGGACTGTCATATCTGCCCAGTCAAGCGCAGAGAAGGCTTTAGAGTCGCAATCCGATAAATCACAAAGCAAATTCGGTCCTATCGTGTATGAGGCGTTCGCCTGGGGCTTGCGAGAGACAACTCCGGCGTGAGTTCGTACCTTTGCTAGCAGGCTTGTTGGCTCACTTTTGCATTCACCCCGGCCCTCCCCTTTGGCTGTCCTATTGCTTATCCCTAGCGCTTCTATTTCTTTGCTAGTTGGCGCCTAGTACTCCCGTTCCTGGGATTCTGCTCGTCCTTGAATATATTCCAGCGTTGCGCCTTTAGGGGTCGACGTTTCCGTAACCCTTTAAAAAGCAACCATCTATGCAATTTTGCTATTGCTGCTGCATGGTTTTGCGGCTTTACTTCACCTCTCCACACTCTGATTGTTTGCGCACTTTGTGAATTTCTCCCGAGTTTCTAGAATCTGTTATGTACTTATTCTCAACTATCCATGTGAGAGGAAAAGTAGGTGATTGGTAATATTGGTTACTTATCCGTCTCTCTGTCTAATCTTATACAAATGGGAAAAGAATAAAACTGAGATTATCTAAATTTCCCTCAAAAGAGCGAAGTAGTGATACCCGAGTAGTCGCACGACTATTGGGCAGCACTTACTTTAGTGACACCGCCGTCTACTCTAAAGTCCCCTTGTCAAGGGAGTTACTGTTTGCTCTACTCTTTACTCGCAATCGTTTTATTCACCCCATAGATTAATTTGGCCGATTCTCAATCGCAAATTCACAGAACCGTAGCTTCCTCTTGAGCGTGGTTCCAACACTTGGAATTTCTCTTCAAACCAATAAGGGTTTCTTTAGTTTTGACGCTTGTTTAATTTAAAACGAGATTTAGACGTGTGTGTGTGTGTGTGTATTTTGAAGGTGGTAGTCCTTGTGCAATTTGAGACACTTAAGTTTGTCAAATGTACTTTTCCTGATCTGTGCAATCGGTGTGTTGTGAAATATCCCCTTTAATAATTCTTAATGCTTTTGGTGACCAACGAGTCCTGCGCTTTTCATGAAACATTTCAGACATTATTTGTTCACTCAAGCACAATTGAATTTTGTTGTCGACGGCTAAATTGAATTTTGGTGTCGTTGCATTCCAAACTACGCCTCCATGTTGCTGTAATTGAAGGAAAGATGAAAGTTAGAGGTAGACAACTTCAGTTGTCTCTGCCATAAGTATGAGTTACTTATTCAATTAAAGGAAGAACAAATTTTGGTTTAAACGCTATCGTTTAGAATGAGTGCACTCGAGAAGCGGTTAGCGTTTGTCTTCCAAAAGTCCTTATCGATCAGATGAATTAACATAATTTCTTATCTCATACTACTAACGGAAGGATATATAAGTACAATTCAGCACTCCAAGACTTCCGCGAGTAAGAAAGAAGATATAACACTCGGACAGAATATGCATTGTAGGCATATAGAAGGAATTGGGGCTATTGGCTTCAGTTGGAGGCCCGGTTGCCCGGCAAAGGTACAATGGCGGAGGCTCTGGGTGCCTCCATTACCAAAACCCGGAGTTAAACACACAACTAAAGTCTTGCATACACTTTATTTCAAAATCCTTAAACTACTTGATTTGGGCAATCTGTGCTTTATTGCATCTCATTACAGCCTTATTATGGTGAAGTTTTGGGTATGTTTTCGAACCGTATAAAGGGGCTTTTTTGGAAGTAAAAGCCTAGGAAATATAGTTTAAGATCTTCCCAATTCTCACTCAGGTCAGATAAATGATCTCGGACAATTCCTTTTTAGTATCCACAAAGCGTTTGGTTGCCTCCACTCTCCCATTAGATGTGGTATAATCTACGTCAAATGCCTTACTACTTAAAGTATATACCTGAAAAGATAAATGTGCCTAAATGAATATTTGAAAGACCACTATACGGAGGCGATTTCCTTTCGGGTATATTTCGAAAGTTCCTTAATATTTTAATCATTAAGCAGTATGGATTTAGTAAGACTCCCGACAAAAAATAAGCTGCTAACACCTTAATATAAGCGCTTCATCTGTCATGCCCTTGGATGATGCCAACTGATTATTTCTTTTATTCACGTTAGTATGATTAGAATCGAGGTGTGTCCATCGTTTGGAAGCATCTCTCCTTCTTAAAGACATATGGAGGGGTCACCGCCAGGGGAGCTAAGTAAATTCTGTTCAAAATTCTTGTTGCTTAACTGCTGAAGCATCTCAATCGTAATCACGTCTACTGTAGCCTACTTGCAATGTTCTTTTAGCATAAACGCCTGCACTTCCATTTTAGTGAAAGTCGACAACGCCTATGCCGGATGAACAAGCTTACAGGCGACCTGTTTGTCCAGTTGGGTGAATTTGAGGTTGGTCAGTGGTACTACCGCAATGCCATACGCTACTCTTCTCACAGTGATCCAGCTGTCTGGCAATCGGGTGGGTGATCTGACCAGGCGCTAAAGTCCTCTCTCTTTTTGTTTAATTAGGACGCATATTCATTCCTATTTGTTTTCAGCACTCCTTACTGGATTTGCTGCCGCGCTCTACCTCAAGGAAGTCGATATCTTTGGCTGGCGTCGCTTCATTGATCCATGTTGTCTCAGGCGTAGCGCTAAAAAACCGTCGGGACTCCTCTCGCCTGTGCTCGATACTACTGGTACTGATAGTTGCCTTTTTTACTAATCTTTTCTTATATGCATTTATCCTCTCCCCACTGAGTTCTGTCCCATGCTCAGATTATATTACTGGACTGGATCTGGCAGTTACAAGGAAACTTGACTCTAAATTACCGCGAAGCGCAGCTCATGCCTTATTCCGTGCAAATCAGTCCATTCAGAGCTTGCGTAAAGTAAGTCCGCCCACACTTTTTCCACTTTCGCTGTTCAAACTTAATTGTGTCTGCGAAAGGCGCTATCAATCGAGGTGAATTGAATGTATTCTGATGATATATTTGCTATTTAGGCTTCTTTGATTCCACGGTGTATGATTGAGGTTATGTACAAAAACGCCGATCATCTTGTGACTCTTCCAGTAAGCCCTTTTCAGTGTTCAGTGCTAGTGTATTTACACCTCCACATTTTTGAACGCGTTTTCTGCTTTCTTCTGTCTGTAGAAAAGAAGCAGCGCTATTCGTGTCCTCACATCACTCCAGACAGATCTGATTCCTCAAGGGGTATGCAATTTTTTACTTAATACTTTCCTTCAATCTTAGATAAAAACGTGTTTTATTATTCGAAAGGCTATTTAGCTTTTGAGTTCTCCTTAGGCCGATTCATATAACTAATTCTTTTGCTGTGATTTTATAATCAGCCTTTTTCAACCCACGTCGGACTTTACTGAAATAAGTTAAATTTTGCCAAGGTGTCATGCACTAGCCAGTGATTTGTACCGACAAACTCTACGCGTTTTTTGTGCTTGGCACTTGTCTTGTGTGGGAATAATTTTTTGCAGCAGCAATATAAATATTATCATACCGTTTCTACCATTTGCTTTTTACTGCCTGTTCAAAGTCACATTCATTGTAGATCATTAGTGGATCCCATTAGGTAAATATTGCGACGCCATCTAAATATCGTTGGGTGCATACCTTCGTGCAAGAATCATTTTAGCAGAAAAGGAGTAACTTTCCTCTAAAAACACTGTTTATTCATTTCCAACGTATTTCGATCATGGCAGTTTTGTCGTGCAAAGCTTGAGATGAACTCTATCCACCTCTTATTCTGTGATTTTGGCTTAATTATGATTCCGCACTAACGCTGAAAAAGTTGTTTAACTTCGATTTCGTGTAAACACATCAGCGCGGGTCCTTATTCATTTTACGTGTGTGTGTACAGGATGCCTTCATTTTCGAGCGCCTTTACGTGCTGGCCAACCTCTGCGTACGCCTGGGCCTGCGACACAAGGCGGGTCTGCTGCACTACCTGCTGGAGAACAGCCTATTCAGCGCCATTCCACTTCCGCACACCCGCCCTCCACCCTTGCTCACACGGGCCTCGGAGAGCTGCTACGCTTTCATCAATCGCTTCAGCTCAAGCTACCTCGGTTCATCGTATCTCACTGAGGCCTATCAGTTGCGCATATCTCCTTCTGGTTTCCGTCGCGCCTCTGATAATCCCATTGGCGTGGTCTTTGTCTGCTCTCTTGTTTCCCCTACTGTCGACTACGAAACCGCTGCTGCCTCCTCCTCGCCTGGCTGGCCCGTCCTGCAGCGCCAGTTGCTCGTCTCGATTATTAGCAGGATTCGTACGGCCGTTGAGCAATCTACTAGCAACATTTCTGAGGCTAATTGGGAACAGTGTATCGGGCTGTTGAGGTAGGGGAGGAACTAAGGCTTCTGGGTCTGTGGCTGTAACCAAACTGCCTTCGTTTTAATCCAGCAGTCAATCTGAATTATCCTCTCCGACACTGATTAGGGTGTAAGCTTATTAGTTTTAAAAGCGTATTTTATTCTGAGCCTTCTCTTCTTCCTCTCACAAAGCTACATGTTTTCCTTGGTCAATGGATGGCACAGAGGCTTGCCAGCATCCGATTTGCCCAATTACATTGAGATCCTGCAGAGCCTGGCCAAAGCCATGCCAGTGGATCAGCCACCTCTTCCCCAAGACGTGTCTCGTGAGCTGTTGTTCTCACGCCATCACCACGGGGAAGTACTCGAATCCAGCGCAGTCCGTTACTCATTTGGCAAACCTCTCAGTTCCACACTGCATCCTCTCTCCGAACTGGTCGAACTGCATATAGATAAAGTGCCCATTGTTCGGTAGGCTGGCCCCCATCTATAGTTTAATTTAACCTACGTCTTCTAATTTTGCATGACTCCAGGTAGTGATGGCCACTTAACTAACAGTGCCCTTAAGAATTAACATACTAGATCTGGTGAATCGGAAGATAGCTTCTCTGTTAAAACAATTTTGACCATTTTGTTCCGGTCTTCAGCTCATATTCCCCATGTTACGTCTTCAAGTAGTAGTCATCATCTTTTCTTGATAAGTACGTACGGAGTAGCATTAACGGTTGGGAAATAAAAGTGAGGTAGAAGCAATGTGTCCAGGAGTTAACTTCTTCGTGGCTTCTAGGTTCAAGGCACCTCATGAAAATAAAATTTGCACCTCGCTTGTTTGGGCACGGACCATAGATCGTACTGATGATTATTCCAACAAATAACCACATTCAGTTTCATATTTAGGGAAGTGTGTGAGGGATCCCTTGCTTATGCTGAGATCAGTAGGTTGTTTACATTGTTTAATCATCTTGAAAGCATTCGCGAAATACAGCTAACGTTTCATAATATAGCTGGGTTTATGCGAAGCCTCTGATCTAACAAGTGGTCACAAGGGCTCAAGGTAAGGTAAGAACTTTTGACAAACTCAAAGGTCATCACAACTTATATCATGGATTACCTGTCCAAAAATGTTTATTTGGGTTTTTTAGGCACTGTACCATTTAGTTTGATATCGGATGCTTGGTGGTCCAAACTATGGTTTAAAGATTATCAGCCTAACACTTACAGAAGCATAGACTATCTCCGTCTTTAGAAGCCTCTCTATCCGAAGACTACCACCACACAGTCTTCCCTCACGCATGTCCTACGAAGCTCTCTCCAGCATGGTTGCAATTGAGGAAACTATGCCCGATTATCCGGCCCCTTATAACAGACGAAAGACCCTCTTGAGACAGCCGACTTTTATCACCAACCCTTTCCAACTTTCTTCATCAGGTGCGCAAGTTGTCCAGAGAATTACCTCTTACCATTTGGGCAGATTGGGGAAATTCACTTGTTTAACGTTTCATGGACTTATTGACCTTTGCACTTTTAACGGCAATGCCATGAGCGAGACGCCATATTGCAGATAAGGAAACGGGAAGCATGACAAATGAAGATCTAGTGTGGTTTAAATCACACTTAAAACGAAAACTTTTCCATTACAATGTAGTGTGAATTGTGATTGCTACACATTTTTTGTGTACATAGCATTCTCAAATCGTTTGGATATTTCACAAAGAAGGTTCACTAACATTGTAATCCATCGACCCAGGATTTCTGTTTTCTAGATACTGCTGACTGGGTGGGCAACGACCTGGGCTACATAGACGTTGTTTTCGACAATCCCTTTGCCATACCACTTGAGTTAAATAATGTGGTTAGTTTGACTTCATTTAATTTTGCTCGTCACATGTTTAACCCCGCACATCATAATGTGTTGCAATTATACGCAGTCCTTAAGTTAAGCTATCACTACATGGCAACCATTTTGGCGGTAACATGTTGCTCAACAAGTACCTAACCATTTTTTTCGATTACATGGTTATACGACGCCAAATCCTAGAACATCGCCGAATCACGCTTGTATTGTGTGTGTTGCATCTTACTAGCTTTAGTATCAACCATATTCCACAGTCATTCAGTAATCAACATTCGTAAGCTTAACATGTCAAATATTGGATTGCGTATAGACCAACTTCTCGCTAATAAAGCGGTAAAACCTTCCTTCTACAATACCGGGCCTCAGAGATCTAGAAATGTATAATTCGCCGCAAATGTCAGAAAATTTAATGAACTATAGAACTAGTTCTTATATTTCATCTCCTGTTGTAGTGCTTTGAGCTCATTGAAGACACGGATGATTCTTCTGCACGAACGATAACTCTCAAAAGCGTTCAAATTATTTCCGCTCCAGGAACTCTAGAGGTATGTTGTCTCGCCAGCCCTCCCTCTGCTATCCCTCATTTCGATCTCTTGTTTTGCCCTTTCATTGACCTGATTCCTCTTTGTTTTGCTCCCTAAATAATTAAAATGGGCCCCATTTACTTTCGTAGGAAAATACTGTATTGTCAGATGCGTTTTTCGTTTTGCCTGTGTCCTATGCGCATGGGCCACTGAAATAAATCTTACCAGAAATTTTGTCTCTCCATGTGTGTGGTGTCTTTCCAGGATGAAATAATCCTCAAGCCCTTTTCAGAGTGCCTGTTTGAGCAGGTTCCTTTTTACCTCGCTCACGGCATTCTACCGGGTACCAAAGGCTACACCGAAAAAGTCATACTCGCACCCGATTCCACACGAAGCCGTTTTGTTTTTGCTCTCACCGTTCCCTGCAACCTCTCTGAGATTGGAACCGACAGGGTTTGTTCGCTCTTTCACCGGTGCAAAGAAAGCAAATCTTTTAGTTCTTATCCAACATTTTGATTTTTTTAGTGGCGAGTGTGCGCTATCTCCTATGCACTTCCCACATTCGGTGGGTTTCGGGTGTGCCGACCTCTGAACGGTTGCAGAAGCAGTGGCTGGACGCTCTACCCCTCACCACAGGACGCGCTGAATTCTGCGGAGGAGTGTGGCGTGAAGGCTCAAGTATCGATGGCGCAGATGGCCTTGCCCCCACCCATTCGCATGTGCTTTCCTCTGCCGCGTCTCTGTCTGCTGGTGGGGGCCTGCACGCACGAGCGGGTGGATCGAGTGAAGCAACCGCCGCGTGGATCCATTCTCGACAGTCTGGCTACTGCTGCACCCTCTTTCTCGCCGTGTCTTCGACTGGCTAGCGCTCTAAATAATCAAGAGACCAAACAGAATGTCTGCAATGTGAGTTTACACTCGCGTAAGTACAAGGGGTCTGTCAAAGTCGCAACCTGAGAGGCAGCTCAACAGTGATATGTAAACGCTTACTGTCATCTTTGAGGGTCGTGGTTATGTGCGTTGCTGGCTCTCTTCAGCTCCTAGGGGTAGTGCATAATCAGAATGATTAGAAAATGTGTGGTCTGTGTTCAAATGTGGAGCATTTACGAGAACGGAGCTCCCACTATTGAGGTTGAGACATCATCTCCAGTTTCCCTTAAAATGAGAAGTGTTGAACTAAATGCAGCTTAATCAGGATTTTCGATGGCTAAAGCCTACTGCATGGCCAATATCGAAGTTATTTGTAAGCCACCCTAAGGTTGACACTCTTCTGAGTGCTATGATGCTGTGTGTGCCACTATTTGGGGCTATTATAGGCACCACTTTGAGTATTTTAGGAGAAGCGATTTGTTGGAAGCTACTTGAGATAATCCACGGGTCCCACTACCATTGCTATATTTGCAATGCCCATAACATGGACTCTTTTGGGAGTGTCGTTTTTAATTGCTATTTTGAATGAGTGTTTTGGTTGTTAAGGCTTATTGAGAGTTCGTGTCTCGTTTTGTAATGAAAACGCTACAAAAGTGTGATTAGATGCGGGCAGTTGGAAGGTGAATTGTGCTGCAAGGGCCATGACGTCGCCAAGCCTTAAATAAAACCACCTCCTTTTCCATTCTGCCCTCCCAAGATAATTGTCGACTTACATCCCTACGAGACGCGTTGGCTACCGATTCAGCTCTTTGTGGGGAAGAACGCTTGCAGCCTTCCTGAGACCCTAAAAATGGGCCAGCAACTGCGTCGCTACGAAGGCGAGTCCTATCTCAATATCCTGCACATTTCCCTCCAGACCACCCTGAGCGCCAACAAGTTCCTACAAAAGTACAACCTGCTCCTAGGACAGTTTCTTCAAATCCCTAATGTGCTAGATGTTAGGCAGAAGGTGGGTCTCACTCTTTATCTTCCTATGAAAGGGTTTCTTTTTCTGATTGCCTAAGTAACTTGAATATATGCGGCGGTAGAAAATGCCTACCTCATCGGTATCAGAATGCATACATTGCAAACCCCCAGACAATATTTGGATCTCCTTTCACTCCTTTTCATTTTTGCATGAAAATGCATGAATTGTTAATTTATTTTTCTTATTCTTCCGCTCTCTTCTCCAGCTGCCGCTTAAGTTGACGCCCATGGATGCCACAAAGCACTGTCGGCTGAAGCACTGCAAGACCGACGACTGTTGCGGCACACTGTGGTTGAAGGTGGACTCGGGTGCTTTCTGGGACGCTTGGTTGCACGATACTTCGGCAACCCAATGCCCTGGCCCTCAGTCCCTTGTCGCCCAACTCTGCATCGAGTTCGCTGCGGACGTTGCACCAGCCACCACGCAGGAGGAGAATTTGTCTCGCACCGTGATTGGTCGTTGCGTTAAGGTTGGCATTGAGATCCGCTTCCTCACCTCCCTTGATGCACCCATCCGTATTCTCAGCCCTCAGATCAGACATGAGGCTCTGGCGTCCGATAAATCACCCGCTGATTGTACCTTCCAGTTTAAGCTGGAGAGTGTGCTGTCGCCGGAGCTCAAGGTATGATTTTCTTTTTAAATCTCGTTTAGTATTAGTCATGAGGAGCAATAACTCTGTCCCCCTCTTCCCTTTAGAACGTAATTCAACCTTCATTGGACTGTCGTTTCTATCGTATCGAGGTGGATGTTGAGTTCTTTTGGTACAAGAGTAACTGTCTCTTTCGGAACAACCTGAAAGCTCTCCCTCTGGCTACACAGTGGACCCCCTTTGTAGTGAACGAGGTGGCGGGGATTGAGTGTAAAGGCGCAAGCATGGAGAAGATGGTGGCTGGTCTCATTCCCTCCGAGGCGCCTGAGGTTGGACAAGGTCACAGCTTGATGGGACTACCTCTTTCTCGTCTCCTTCAAATTTTTCAACAAGCCGCCTTCCCACCCCTTGCTGTGGCGACCCGCCCCACTGATGAACTCCTGCTGCCTCTACCACTACCCCATTCTCTTGGACGTTTGCTGGAGTGCTGGATAGAGGTCTTGTGCTTGTATTTCTGTTACTCATTTAGTTACTACAAAAGGGGAACTAACTGGGTTTTTAGCCCCGTAAATGGGACTAATTCGCAGCACTCTGGCAGTGGCTTCTCATATCTGAGTTTGAGAGCTGGCTTCGTGGGTTGGTTTTTTGTTTATGCAGTTATTTTTTCTTCCCTTTTTTACTCGTCTAATGGGCAGAAAAGAGCTCCAACAGTGTGGGAATCTTTCTTAAGGCTTTGATGTTATTTGGTTACAAGGTTCATCTTCCTGGGATTTTGACCTCTCCTGCTTGCAACGAGGCACAAAATTTTAGTCGTGCATTTGTTTATTGGGTAATTTTACTCGTGAACGAGTTATTTTACTATTACAACAGTTAGGCTTATCAAAACATTTGTAAATTGCTGAGTAAAATAAGTCCCTTTAATTTTTTGTACCTTGGGCTACACACGAAGCTCTTATCGTGGACCATTCGAGGTTCTAATGTGTCATTTGTCCTGAGGCCTTAAATCTCAAATTTTTGGGAGTTTATTTAAGTTTTGTTTTCCAGTAGCATTAATACAAATATAGGGAGTAAAAATTATTTCACAGTCTATTCCCTGCCGATATTAAATCCACCCCTTGAATATTTTGCGTGCAGATACGCTGGACTGCTCGAATGGTGTTGAATGTATCGACCTCAGGGGGCCCAGATGCCTCTCCAAGTGTTCGAAATCATTTCTTGCCAAATTTACGCAGTGGTCGCATTGTTCCTCTCTCCCCCGTCCTTTCATCAGAGTCACCCACTCCTCCGTGGTACTTCCCACTCCTCAAGAATCCCTACTTTGTTGCCAAGATCCTCTGGAAGAATAGGATATGGCTTCGTGAGTTATGTGTTCCTAAAGAAGACTGCTTCTTGAACACATTTTAGACTGAGTCCTCGCTATCACCAGCAGAAATTCTTTTAAATAGTTTTTAGACGACGTCCAAAGGCGTGGGAAGGAAATCTCCAAAGCTCAGCAAATGTCTAAAGTTAATTTGACGATAACGTAACCACATTTCAAGCTCGCATATTTGGGTATTCCTGCGTAAATTTCCAGATCTGAAGTTTACCACCATCGCTATTCCGCTCTTGTTCCCAGCGATGGTCCGCAAGAATCCTTCTTTGACTTTAAAGTTAGGGTTGCAGCATTTAGCGCATGAGTCTATTTGCCTGAGTGGTAATGTGGGACCGTTTCAGTCAAACATGCCTATAATTTGCCACACTTGAGAAGTTAGCAGTACCGTACACAGTAGTTTTTTAGGCTTTTCACAACCCTAGAAATACGCTCCCACTCCTCTCCATGCCTTGTTTTCAAGACTTCTGAAAACATCTGCAGTTCTCGTTGGGTTTCTCTTGTTGTGCTGCTGTCCCTTTACCTCAACGTTATTCAAAGGACATAAATTCGCGGGGGCTGAGATCTTCCGTCCCCTCTGGGGTTCTGGGTGCAGTCTCCGTGTCCTAGTACCCCGGAGACACACCGTATCCTGAGTGTATTCCGAGCCGCACCATTGGGCCCTCTGCCTCTCTGAAGCAATACCTTCTTGATTTTTTTGGTTGAAAAGGCAACCTGTCGGCTAGTAGTCGGCGCCCATGTCCTGAGTTGGTCTAAACACCGTTAGTCGAGATAGGCAGTAACAAGGGTATTACGTGTCTGCAAGGAGCGGTGTATGGTGAGAGAGATTGCGTAAAACCCGCAAGCACTCGTGTTTATGGAAGACTGCATTTATTATACGATACGATGATGGGACGACAGACTACTCGTTGTAGGCGTTTCGAGGATGGCAAAACCCTTAGCAATAGCCAATCTGGTCTTGATGGCTTCCAATTCCCAACACAACGGTCATTTCTGTGAGCGGCCAGCGCATGAAAAGTTCAGTCGGCGCGTAAAATGTGGTGAACTTGCAAAGAAATTTTTTTTTTTTTTCTTAAACAAGAAAATCAGTAAATGAAAGAATTAGTGCACACTAAGTGCCGAGCCACCTTTCTGCCCTTGACCAGCACAGCGGGCTCCGCCAGGACGGTTTAGTCCTATTGACAAATCCTGTGTCAAAATCGTCCGAGTAAGAGCTAAACACTGGAGTGAGTTTAAAAAATGCAATAGACGTGCCAGGTATAGTTCCCACTGGCTGAAATCTCTTCCATCCTTTGGTGAATCCAGAAGTCTCAACTTTGCCTGAAAGTCTCTTGTAATATTATTATACTAGAGCGTATTGTAATTTTTATTTTCACTTTTGCTGATGCCAGAGCTGGTGCAGCGTTTTCAATACGATGTGCCGGTCTACACGGCACAGGAGTGTCCGGTGTGTCGTACGACTGCAGCCGACAGCAAGGGTCCGGCGTCGTCCTTGCGTCGCAACACTCCCACGGTGGATGCAATGGCAACGCACGTCGCAGTACTTCTACCAGCAAAAATGCCTCTTGAGCTCTATGGCGGCATTGAGGGTGACGAATTCTTCAACCACCTGCACGACATTTTGACCAAGCAGTTCAGCCCCTTTGTCGGTGCGTTTCTCCTACTCTCTACTCTCTCCTTTTTTGCCGGTATTAAGGTAAACCTGTTGTCTAAAATCGAGTTGGTATTAATTCCCACCACTGTTACCAGATGCTTCTCGACGTGTTTGTGTGGACCTCTCCGAAACCAAAGCGGATTTTGTCACTGAGGCTGCACTTATGGCTATGCTGCAGGATGGAATAGTGCTGCACCGTCTCTGGATAGGCCTCAATGTCTTTGAGGCCAGCGAGAGTGGCAAGTACCTCACCACATCCAGACCACTGGCCGAGGGCAGTGGATTCTGCCTAGATGGATGTCTCAGAGGACAGATGGGCGTAAGTGTCCCGTGCTTTTGCTCAGTGTTGAACTCGAGTTTTATTGAAGTGTCTTTAAGGCTGTGTAGTCGTGGATGGCTAGAAGTTATGCAGTCAAAACGACACCGTTACGTTCCCTTCCCCTTTTAGTACGCTTGGGC